GACCACTCGGTAAGATATGATCTGTGTGAAATGTCCAGAAAAGGCAAATCCAGAGACAGAGTAGATTAGTGACTGCCAAGGGCTAGAGTGACTGGGTAGAAATGTGAATTGCATAATAAATGAGTTATAGCTCAACAAAGCCTTTATAAATTTTTTAGAATTACTGAATATACAGATATCAGAATACTCAGATGTTTTCATCAATAAAAAATAAAGGTCATTCTAATCACAAGTATTTAATGAGCAAAATGCTTGTTGCTAAAATAAATGCTAATGATAGAGATAAAAATGAAATAACACAGGTAAGTCACCAACCAATTACCAGTCACTGTCACACTGTGTCTTCTCATCAATTAATTCTGAGTCACTCGTCCACAAAAGGGGACAGAACAGATGCATACAGGAACGGTCTGCCCCCAGGACTGCTGTTCTGCTCCCAAAGCAAAGGATTCCAAAGGGCACAGACACTTCTGATGGCCCAGAACACCCATATGCAGTACAACAAAGACATCACTGGACAAAGGGTCTGAAACCCCAGAAAGACAACCCTGCTGCACTCTCCACTGCAAGGATTAAAAGGGCATATGATGTGCGCGCATAAACTCTGATCACACTTGGCGGCTAAGATCAGACTGATGGAAAACACAGGTGCTGTCTCAGGACAGATATCAGGGACATCACACAGAAGGTAACAGGACCGAGGTGACCTCCTAAGGTCTTCCCAAGAGCCTGAAGCCTGCCCACCACAGTGAAGTGGGCCTGCTCTGGCCTGGGATGTGTCAGAAATTGCTCTTATGGGACAAGGAGGCCTAAGGTGATTACAGACTTGAACTGGGAGCAGCAAGAGGGCTGAAAATGACCTGCAACTGACAGCAGCAACCTTTGTGGTCCCCTCCACTGATGGCACAGGCAAAATTTCTGAGTATAAGGAAATGGGATGCTATGAAAAAGAGGCAATCATCTGGAAAGACATTAAACAAAATTGGATTACCCTCCTGGTCTTTCATTGCTTCAGTTCTTGCCCAAGCAAACAGAAGCTGGGTCACATTGCATAAAAAACAAATTACAGAGCCAGGTACAGTGGCTCAGGTCTGTAATCCCAGCACTCAGGAGGCTGAGGCAGGAGGATGGTTGTGAGTACAAGATCAGCCTGGGCTACAAAGTGAGCTCAACACTAGCCTGAACTGCACAGTGAGACCCTGTCTCAAAAAGACAAAAAAATTTACAAATAGCAGATCAGCAGGACACCCTACATGAGGATCCTGACCAGGAGCCAGGAGTTTTACACCTGATTTTGCCAAGCTGCATTTCCTCTGGACCTCCATTTCCCCCCTGCAGAACTACAGACAACTGTACAGTGCAAGGAATGCTGTGCTCAACGCAACAGAACCTGAGGGCTGGGAGGTGAAGAGAGGTTCCCCAATTGCTTGACAGGAAGGCTGTAATAATGTGTTTTCTCTTAAATCTCTCATTTTATCTTTTCAATTCAAAGTAATCCCTGAGAGTAAATACTGCCTGCAGTACATTTTTCCCACCTTATCCTGATGATCCACCATTAAAAATAAAAACAAAATACACAATTCAATAATGGTCCAGAATGTAAGAACATCATCGACATGTCAGAGGAGTTGACACCATTGATTCACTGGTACTTGAGTTTATCTGTGCCAACTGCAGAAAGGCCCACTTACCCACTTCTTTCTCAATCTTTTTATCAGACAGCCTCAATGTAATCAGAGTGATTTCATCTCTCCCACACCCTATCCATTTTTACAGCAGATCAAAATGCATTTAAAGTAATGAGATCAGATTATTTAAGTCCCTCAAAGTAATTATCAGGGTCTAAAACAAAATTAACAAGAAAAGAGGCAAAAATAATGAGCTAGCCAGATGTGGTAATACACACCTGTAATCCCAGCTACTAGGAGGCTGAGTCAGGAGAATCATAAGTTTAAGGCAGGTAACTTGGAGAGACTTACTCTCAAAATAAAAATTTTAAGAAAGAATTGGGACACGAGGCTGGGGGGAGTATAATCACTGCAAGTTCAAGGCCAGCCTGGGCTGCAAAGTAAGCTCAAAGCCAGTCTAAACTGTACTGCAAAACCCTGTCTAGAAGACAAAAAAAAAAAAAAAGACTGGAAAATGTAGCTCAGTGGAAGACTAGTGTCCTAACATGCACAAGGGCCTGGGTCTAATCTCCAACACTGCAAAGAAAATATTAATAATGAACTAAAAGGGAGGTGGAGGACTGAAGTAAGAGGCAAAACCCCTGAGAGTAATTTTTACTAAATCTCAAAAAAAAACCAAACAATAGAAAGAAAACAAAAAAATGAAAGGCCTGAGCCTTTCAGCCTGACTAGATGAATAAGACCTATTTTAGAAGAAATCAACTGTTAATAACAGAAAGCCACCTTGCTGCTGATGAAGTAAGGCACGTAGTAGAGCAAGGAAGAGAACTGCTACTGTAGAGAGAAGACATCTACTGCAAACTGGACCACTGCTAAATCATAAAAACTATCAGTAACATGAGATCTCAAAAAGCAAGTAGGAAGATCCCACTTCTGGAAAAGATTATACATCTCACTCCCAAAAAGCCAGCAACACGGAACCCCCAAGTGGGAAAATCAAAGCATCACATTCCAAACAACAGCCAGAGTCAGGCCATGGATGTGGAAACGGCCCTGAGGAAGGAGCTCAGGCCATGAGACTCAAAGAGATCACAGACTCTGTCATCCCACGTTTCTGAACTTCAAGAGCAGACAAGGTCCCAAACCCATCCTGCAGGAAAGAAGGATACGCAGAAGCGCATACGAAGGTGAGAAGCCCATCTAACTGTCTTTTCAACTGGAGAGCAACAAATTGTCAAACCTGAAAGGCTTGTTGGAATCTAACCACATTTTTACAGCTGTGAAATACAGGAAATAACAGATATGACTGCAGGTGATATACTCTTAGAAATAAGATAAATGAATGAATGGATAAATGAATCTACAGAGGGCAAAATCAATAGCATTAAATAAAAATCAACCTTGGGGAGAACAAACAGAGCAGAACTTGGTAAGGAAGCTAGTGATCACTGCCCAGACATATAAACCACATAAATGAAGTTATGCCTTGGCCTGTTTTGTATTGCTATGACACAATTGTTGGAGCTGGGTCCTTGAGAGAGGGTTTTGAAGGTTTAGGTACAGGCTGAGGCAACCCCATCTGTGAGGGCCTCAGGCTATGCCACACAAGGTGGATGACATGACGGTAGAAGTTATTTGTGAGAGGGAGAGAGGTCACAGGGCAACCCAGGAAGCCAGAGACGGGACATCGCCTGGGCTCACTCTTCAGGAACAGTCCACGATGGCAGCAAGGAACTACTCCAAAGCCCAGCATCAACCCCTTCTGGTGCAGCACTCCACAGCCCACGCTCGTCCCAGGAGGCCATGTCTCAGGTTCAACACCAGGGCTGCTACGCTGGGGACTGAGCTTCCAACACCAAACCTCTTGGGAAAACCACACCCAAACCACTCAGTGTGAGCCACTACTTTATGTAACACAGTAATGTAATGATTTTACTAGAACATTCAAGCCAAAGTCTGAGATAAATAACAAATATTAAAATATAAGAAGAGGAACCACTCACCATGCTGGCTACCATTTAAGAAGATTCCTCTTTCTATAAACATGTTCCATCTTAAGGAACTTTGAAATATAAAAATTAATATAAGCCAGGGATATATAGCTCAGCAGCTTAAGTGCCTGCCTGGCAAGTGCAAGGTCCTGAGTTCAACTCCTGGTACAAAAAAAACAGTCTGATGCTGTCTTAATGTCAAGCAGCTAACAGTCTAATAAGAGAAATTAGGATATATCTAAATAGTAAAGATAAAAGTCAGATGTGGCGATGCATACCTGTAATTCCAGGACATTAAGAGGCTGAGGCAGGAAGATTATAAATTCAAGCTTCATCAAGGCAATTTACCAAGACTCAGACTCAAAAATATGTTTTAAAAAGAGGTGAAGATGTGGCCTAGTAAGTGAGGACCCTAGGTCTGAGCCTCAGCACCACAAATAAAACCAAAAGAAAGTGGTTCAAGGAAAGAAATATTGGTATTAAAATTTTTTTTTAAGTATTGCAGGCATGGTGGTGCATATCTATAACTCCAGCTACCTGGGAGAAGGAGTGCAAGTTCAAGGTCAGCCTGGGCAACTAAGTGACCGCTGTCCCAAAATAAAACCACCACCACCAAAACAGGTTTGAACCTGTCTGTCACTCAGTGGTAGAGTGCATACCTAGTATGCACAAAGGCCCTAGGTTCAACTCCCAGTACCAGAAAAAAAGAACTTAAGAAAATGAAAATAAAATAACCAAAAAGAATACATTCAGTGAAAGGTCCTTCAACCGCTGTGAATTTGTGATTTTGGTTTCTTTTTTTTTGAGATAGTGTCTTGCTATGTAGTTCAGGGTAGCTTTGAACTCATTATATAGCCCAGGTTGGCCTCAAACTCACAGCAAACCTCCTGTCTCAGCCTCCTGAGTGCTGAGATCATAGGCATACGCCACAACACCCAGCTCAAAGCTTGTGTTCATTGGTTTCAACAGCTAAAAACTAGTATTAATGTTCCATAATAATGGCCACTAATGGACACTGTCATTCTTTAACTTTTGCTGTAATCAACAACAATACTATTTATACTATAGTATAAATCCCCTATATTAGTACATATATATGGTGTCTCCCAATATTAGTTTTCACTATATTCCTACAAAAAAAATTACCAGGTGGTCTTTCTTTTTAAAACCTGTTCTCTGTAAGTAAACAGACTTCACTACTTTATATGAATGCTCCCATAACTGACAAAAGTGTTAACTGAAGGTAAGCTTAAGGTAACATTTTGTGGGAAAAAATTACACTCTGTATTAAATGCTTTTATTTTTAAAACCCCCTAGAGTACACTATTAGCAAAGACACTGGAGTGAAAACAACATACCTCCTGAATGAGGAGTTAGTTACCTGTGTAATATTTTTAGAAGACATGATTGCTTGATTATAGAATATGCGGCCAAAATGATCTCGATCTGGAAACACATCAGCTTGGCGAGGTAAATTGGCACCACCTGAGTCAACTGCATTGGAACATGAGAAGAATAAGAACATCTCAATGAATGGAGAGGGGATAAGTTGGAAGAAGGGGAAAGAAAGAAAAGGGAAAAAAATAATCAAATTATATCATGTACAGGTACAAATTCTCAATGATGAATGCGATCATTATATAAAAGGTACCAATAAAATCTGATTTAAAAAAGCAAAAAAAAAAAAAAGACCTCTAGGAACAGAACATACCGCACAGTCAGTTCTAGGTGTGCAGCAGTAACAGTATGGGTTCTTTATCACTTGCACAAAAAAACTTGTCTTAACTCTCTAAACAATACTAGCATCTTTCCAATCCCCCAGTACAACCAAAGGAATTTGGTTCTCCACAAACAAATTAGGCTTTCTACCTCTGTGCAAAATCCTGTGTGAATTATTTAAGACATTCTTTCCTTTGAGGACCAGCAAAAGCCCCAGAGACACCATGAAGTCTTAACTAGGTAAGCTGAAAAAGTATCTTTCCTCCTTCTACACCAATACAAAGACTATCTACAACATTCACACAATAGATAAAAATCACGCACTGCCTTCCAACACTGGTTTTACTACAGATGGAAGTGGTGGGTAAGAGTGCCAACCACGCCAGAAGTGAAGGTGCACACTTGGGATCCCAGCACTCTGGGAGGTTGAGGCAAGAGGGTTACAAGTTGGAGCCCAGCCTGGGAAATTTAGTGATTTAGAAAGACTCTGTTTTAATATTTTTTAAAAAAACAGCTGAGGATGTAGCTTAGTGTGAAGGCAGTATAAAACTAAAATAAAACAAAACAAAAGAGTGCCAGTTCTTCAAAACAGAACTCATTCCTTCACAGCTGCATGATTACAGGTGTCTCCTTCTATCCTATGCCTCAGTTTCCTTACCCGTGACATGAAGAAAACAACAGTAGGTATTCAACAGAGGCAGTATCAGGATAACATGAAATAACGTATGTAATGGCTGAGTACGCACAGCAAACATAAAAAGAAAATTAGCCATTCCTATACCTATTGGTACTGCCTGAGGCTACAAAGCCTTGAATTGCTATTAACATCCTGTATTCTGTCACTAACACTGGGCTCTCTCGGCTCGCTGGACCAGAGATGCTGACAAGCCCCCTCACTGTGTTCCAAAGTGTCCAGCACAACCTCCGCATACAGCCAGGGCCACCTGCTGCTGCCTCACAGTGCTGCGTCACTGTGTGTGGCTAAATTCGCCTTCCAAGGGGAAAAAGCTCTGTCTCTCTACCTGTTCAGATGCTCAGATAAACAAATGACATATTCTGGAGTTTGAGCAGACTAAACCAGGATCCAGGAAGTGTCATTTCTCTGCTCTTTCAGGTTCTTTTTGAAACATTCCTGATTTAAATGTATTCTCATTTCAAAGACTAATTTTACTTACACTGAAAATTAAATTTACTTTAAACATATGCTCAAATTATATAATGTTTCAACATTTAATACACTATCCTGGCACTCAAGAGATTCAAAACTATTAGTTCTTTTTTAAATAGCCTCAGCCCACTATGATTAACACAAAAAATACATGGGAAAAAAAAATCCATGTGTAGAGAAAAACTGCTGCATGTGAAAGCATTAGTGGAGATCCACCTCTCAAAGACAGCTTCATGTAGTTTTGTTTCATTTCCCCTAAAAGTTTTCAACAAAGAACATGCATTTCCTCTCTGACTGTGGAAGAAATCAGCGGCATTTTTAAATACGCATTGGTGATGCCACAGGCACTCTTGGAGACAGCGTGTATATCACCAGCTCATGACACGCTCAGGTCATGGCTCTCAGCACTTGCCCAGGTAGATGCAGGGGAGTCGGTTCTGCAGTGCAATTTCCTGTGCCCGAAGGTGCTTTTTCACAGTAACAGGGTAGTAGGTGCCTCCTTTGACAGTGGCATCATTGGCAACAACCATGCATTCTACTCTGAAAGGCAGAAATGGCATTGGAAAAGAAATATGAACAATTTCTTCATAATTACAGACCAATTTCAGCTCTTAACAAGACACTCCAAAATAACCTTCAACTTCTAGTACAGATCATTACTGACATCAGTAGTAGACAATCACATGATATAAAGCAAGATTTAATTTATTTTAACAATATAACATGGCTACTTTTTGTGGTTTGCTTTTGATGGTACTGGGATTTGAAGCCAAGTCTTCACAGCAAGTTACATACCCATTCATTCCTTTTGAATGTTTTGAGACAGGGGCTTGCTAAGTCATTAAATTGCCCAGGCTGGGCTTGAACTTGCAATCTTTCTGCCTCAGCTTCCCAGAGTATTGGGTTTATGTGGGTACACCATCACGTCTGACTTAAAATGATAACTTTTAACAAGTTTACAAACTCATACAGCATTTGATTTTTAAAGACTCATCAGTTCAGGGGCTGGGGATTTAGCTCAGTGGCATAAGCACCTGCCTTGCAAGCAGGCAGTCGTGATCCCTGGTATAGAGAAAAAGAAAAAAAAAAAAAGATTCATCAGTTCTATTAATGAAAAACTAACACAAAAATAAGCCACAGAATGGTTCCTTGAATGAAAAGGTCTAATAAGACAATGGGCTCTGATTTGTGGTATTCCTCCTGCCTCAGCCTCCTGAGTCCTGGGATTATAGGTATGCACTATGAGGTCTGGCCTAACAAAGTGATAATATAGGAAGGGAGAGAGGGAGTCTCAAGCGAGAAGAACTGCCTCATAATAAATCTTCAGAGTTCTCTTTTAGGGACGTACTTTGCAAAAATGAAAACAGATAAGCATAGTGACATTTATTTTTGTGTTTTCAAGAATTCTTCAGTGTTACTGCCATCTGCTTTTCAAAAAAAATTTCTTAAAAAATCTAAAATACAACATTTATCTTGCTTAAAGACACAAAGATGCAAATTTTAAAAGAGTACATGGAAAACATATGAAAGGAGCAGTCAGTGCATCACCAATGGTGCCCTCTCTCACCAAATCAGTGCTGGGTCCCAGGGCACACAGTGACAAAGAGGCAGCACAAAGGAAGACAGCCAGAAGGGGAGTGCATGACAGCCTGTAGAACCTGGCATCAGAGGCTGTTTGAAACCAGAGACAGAGACCCTACTTGTTTCACCAAACTCAATCTTCTTTCTCTCTGTAGACAACATCACCCGCTTCTCGCCCTAGAACCCCACAGACCAGCATGCTGAGTTCCAACTGAAAACTGGCAACATGCAGCATCCGGAGGTGGTGAAGGGCCAAGGCAAGATGACCACGTCTCTCTCTGAGCACCAACTTTAAGTCACACAAAGCCTTCTTCTATGTCATAGAGTGGAATGCAAACCGTCAGTGACTTTACCACTAAACGAACAACTTTGGAGAAAATTCAGGCTTACAGCAGGTGGCTGGACACAACCCCGCACTCCAGTGCATGTGCACAAGTCCTGAGGTACAATGTCATGCTAGGGAGGAGCTCAGGCTATGAAGTCAGACAAAGCCAGACAGGCATCTGGGTCCCACCACTTGCTAGATGTATAATGTTGGACAAGAGACAGAGCCACTGCAGTTCCTTTATTAAAAGACCACAGACAAGAGGAGATCATGGTGGACAGATAACAGTAGCTACAGAGGCTCTCTGAGAATGCCAGCTTAGAATCCAGGAATGGTGCAGTGTGAGGAGTCCTAAGCAAAGGGAGATATACCCTGCCGACCCAGGACCGAACTAAGCTGAGAGAAACCAACTAGAAATGCAATCCGGGTGCTATAACCAGAACAGATAAAATCTCAGCGCGGAAGCCGGAAGCCGCGATTTGAATTTCCCGCCGCCACTACTGCATCTGAATTGGCACAGCAAAGAGAGACAGTGCACGAAAGCTCTGAGAGTGGGAATCGGCGAACGGAGTTGAGAGCAGAACTGGCAGGGAGCCCTGCATTGAGCTGCAGTGAGAGGAATGGGAACTCTTCCATAGACTAGGAGGCTCCAACAGAGGACATTCTGGGACTGGGCAGACTAGCCAGAACAGGACGCTGCAGTGACTTTAGTTGCATATTCCCCTCTCAAGCGGGACTGGTGAGGAATGCTTGGCCTGGGTGACGCCGCGGACTAAGATCCAGTAGGCTAGCCCAAACCAAGTCCCAGCACCTGGTGGTGCACCTTGTAGTGAAGCCTTCACTAGGTTGACCTGGAGGGGCAGGCCCAGCAGAGGCTGCCCAGGTCTGTGTCTCCCTAGTACACTGCAGTGGGCGGGAACACCTAGCCGGCGGATTCAAACAAACTGTAACCCACAAAGAAAAAAAAACTGGGCCTCCTATATACACTTGTATGGAAGGAACAAAAAGTATGGGAAGAGGGAACAACAAGAAAAGGTCCTCAGTCCCCAATCCTGAGAACACTGATCCAGGAAAGGTAAATGCAAAGGAGAATGAGGACAGAAAACATGCAATATCAGATACGGCACCAATAGACATAAAGCGATATCTCCGGAGAAGCACAGACGAGTTCAAAAGTGAAGTATTTAACAAAATAAAGCAAGATATAAGTAGAATAGTTAGAGAAATGCTAAGCACTGCCCAAGACAAAACAGATGGTAGAATGAAAGAACAGAAAAGAAGGGGAGAATTGCTTGATGGAGAAAATAGAGAAAACATAGAATACGTGAAGCAGATTCAAAGAGATTACCAGGAAACTAAAAACTCTATCGAAAACTGGCATAACAGCTTGAAAGAAACTAAGGATAGATTATCTGAACTGGAGGGCAGATTTGTAATGTGGGAGCATGAAATGAAAAACTTCTTAAAAGTAATAAGGAAACAAACAGCAACAATACAAAGGCTAGAAGATGATAAGTGGATCTATAACTTAAGAATTAAGAACATCAGAGAAGAAGTAGGGACACAAATGAATGAACTACAAAAGCTATTCAGAGAAATAATCCAGAAGATTTTTCCCTAATTTAGCAAAAGGTAAAGATACTCAGATGTATGAGGCATACAGGACCCCAGCCACCTACAACCCAGAGCTACACCCAGGCATATAATAATCAAAATTCCAGAAATCCAATATAAGAACAGAATATTAAAAGCCGTCAGAGACAAGAAACAGATCACTTACAAGGGAACACCCATCAGAATTAGAGCAGACTTCTCGGCACAAACCATCAAATCACGAAGAGTGTGGGGGGAAATAATTCAAGCTTTGAAAGATAATAACCTCCAGCCAAGATTGATATATCCTGCACAATTGTCCCTAGAAATTGATGGAAAACAAGGTGCTTCCAGAAATTGATGGAAAAACAAGATGCTTCCAATTCTAAAGAGGAACTAGGGGAATTTGCAACCACCAATTCAACACTACAGAGAATACTGCAGGATATTCTAAAAAAGAAAAATACCAAGATTCCAGAAACAGTGGCAGAAAGGCCACAATGAATGGAGCAGAAAACAAAATGAATAAGACAAACTGACAACTAATGACAGAAAAAGAGCTCAACAAAAATGAGGCAGAGAAGGTTGGATGGTAGGAACAGCTATTTTGGAGAAAACAAGACATCATAATAGCTAGTGCTGATTTAATATCATCTTGTTTTGAAGTCCCATCAAGTTTTTGTTCTTCTGTCTCCATCGGTCTTAATATGTTGTATCTTATTGGATTTTATTATATGTGATAATATAAACAAAAACTTTTATAGACAAGGAGATTATACAGAAACCATTGTTCATTTTCTGTTAGGTGATTCCAAATACCCTGTAATACTGTCATTCTCTTGAATGGTTTTACATTGTCTTGATATGTTTGATGCTAGAGTATATGAAGTTATACTCAAAGATTTCAAGGAAAGAGACACTATGGTAACTACTTTTGTCGGGATATCTTGTGGCAAAACACTATTTTGCTTAAATGGTTATGTTTTGACCTGTGCTGTTTTGTTGCTCTGCCCTCTTTTATCTCAATCTCCTTTTTTTATCATTTACTTTTTTATCTCTTTAATTAAGGGAAAAATAAATTAAAAATAGCAGGATATATTATAGTAACCCACTTTGATTTCCTATTAACTTGATTTGAAACCCTGTATTGCTCTCACCATCTTGTTTTGACTGATTTTCCTCTATTCTGTTTTGCTTGATAGTACCAAGTTCGAAAGTATAGGCAACAACTGTGAAGACAATAAGATTCATTATGACACCCATTCTGGTTGACTATTATCTTCTTTTGAAGACCTGTAATGTCTCCAATGTTTTGGTTTTATTGGCTTTGTTCTTTATTGTTTTGTTCAATTTTATTATAACTGATGATATAGGCAATTCTCTTTAAGATAGCAAGAGGCAGTATGGTAACCATTGTTGATCACCTTGTATTTTGTTTTTACATTATGTATTATGTCCATCCTTTTGATCTGACTGACTCTGTTCTGTTATGTCACATTTGGTTTTACTCTCTTCAAAAAAAAAGTAATAAGAACTGTGGGAGTAATAAAACCCAAAATGTGTAATTGTCATTATACAAAAGAGAGGAAAAGAAAGTGCTCTAAAGGACATAACTGCATGTATATTTAAGTGTATAAGATAGATAACCATATTACTGAGTTTTGTTGGATCATTAAACAGAACTGTTTACAGTCTCACTGTATGAATGTCCATTTTATATGCTTTAATTTTGTAACCTGAACAACGATTTCTAAGATGACAATATGTAATCTATTAACTAGTGATTTCCTGTTTATTTTTTCTGAAATTCTGTATAACTTGTACCCTTTTTCTGCTTTTTTTTTCCTCCTTAAATTAAAAAAAAAAAAAAAAAGACCACAGACACATAGAATGAGGAAAACCTCAGTTCAACACAATACTGTACTACTTATCTACAGTGCTGGTTTTGCCTCCCTGGCATCTATGACTCTGACATCAGAAAAAAACGCTCCTGCAGCAACTGCTGCTTCTCCATCTTTTTTTTTTTTTTGGTTGGGGGTGAGACAGGTAAGGTCTTGCTATGTAGCCCAGGCTGCCCTCAAACTTGCGGTGAGCCTCCTACCTCAGGGTCCTTAATCCACATGGTTTGAGAAGGCCCAACACCCACCTTCATGGGGAAGCACATGAACCAAGCCCCAAGACTCAGCCCCTGACCATCCTTCCACCGCAGCTCCTAAAGGCTACTTTAAGAAGCCAGGAGCCACCCACCACTCCACAATGGGTTTGAGAGCCCACACAAGGCAAGAAGGCCAGGAGCAGAGAACAGCCAGTCATCTGATAATACAGACTGAGCTCTAAGCCCTAGCCACACCCAAATTTAGCAGAAAGAGTCAATGAAATCTCTTTTCTGCTTCTAGTTTAAGCAAACTCTGTTTATCAATTATTTGCCAAAGAAGGAATATGGATGACACATGGCATTCAATCAGGCTTTCTATGAAAGAAAAGGCCATTTAAATTACTATAAAGTGTTGCTAGTTCACACCTATTGAGTGAGCTCCTGTTCAGTCATAATATCCAACACCTGAGTAGTTCAGTAGTACACAAAATCAATCATTCCTGCCCTTGTCCATATGGAAAGAAACATCTTACAGGCTAAGCTACAGGTCATATGGATCCCTGGTTATTGAAGCTCACAGAGAATTGATGCTAGTCAAAAGGCTTTGCTAACTGTTTATCATGTAGAGTAGAATTAAACAAGAGTGTCTTCTGGTATCTATCACTTAATTTGATACCACCTGTGGAGTAAGGAGATTCCCTCCCAACTATAAACAACAAACACAGCATTCTATGTAAGTATGATACAATTTTACCACCTTGTGCTGGAACTAACCATCGGCCAAATTAAGTCTACAGGTGTCATTCATTCCTTCATTCAACAAATATCTTTAAAAAAAAAAAAAGCAAAACAGAAAAAAGAAATAATACAGAATTTCAAAAGGAAAAAAATAGTAAGAAATCAACACTAGTTAGTATATTGCATATTATCATCTTAGAAGCAGTTGCCCAGGTTACAAGATCTAGGTATAAAAAATGATCAAGCCTATATGCCACGTCCCATCCAGGGAACTAAGAACACAAGGGTGAAGAAGGACAAAATTTTTCATTCCACAGAGCTCCACTCCAGTGGGGAGAAGTGGCTAAGGGTGGCATACAAGTTAGCAAATAGAATAGTTTCTGATCTCGGTCCAACACATACTCCCTGCCATCGCAATCCACTGACCTCACCAAAACTGAGTTCAGGCAGCCAACACGGTTTGCAGCCTTCAGAACTGTGACCAAATAAACCTTGAAACTGACTTTCCAGGTAGCCTGTCTCAGAAACTGTATTGTAGTAAAATGCAGCTGACAAGCTAATACTTTGACTGCACTTGTATTCTGACCAGGTCCTATCACATGAGGTCAGGTGTGGAATTTTTCACCATAGTGTGGAAAATATTGGAAACATTGTATAAAATTATCATCACTCTATGTATGCAAAGTGTGTATGAAACATAAATGATTCTCATATTTAGAGTTGGGTCTCATTCCCAGGGTATCTCATTATGTATATGCAAAGATTCCAAAATCTAAACTATGAAATGGTTCTATCATTTTGGATATAAAATTATACTAAATTGTTAGTACAGTCATGTACCACATAAAGCTGTTTCAATCAACAATGCAACATACGTATGATGATAGTCTGAGGGATTACACTGTCCAGTGATATCACAGCTACCTCGATTTGTGCAAACACCCTCTGCTCCATGATGCACACATGCATGACCACAAAAACAAGGAAGCTGTGGATAGTCATTATTATACCCACAAGTATGAAGACAAATTATTCTATGCATGCATTTCTATGATACAGGAGTTTGGGTTAATTCTACATTGAGTTCACCATTTTAAAAAACAGTTTAAAGTATCACATAAGCCTCAAAAAAAAAAAAAAATAAAGACAAAAAAAAACACACAAAGCCTCCATGCTAGGTGAACATTAAGCAAAGAGCCACAGAGGGTGTTGGGGTAAAGAGAGGAAACTAAACAAAAGAAGGAACAACACTGGCACTGGAGGTGACTGCACATCACACGGGCACAGATCGCAGGGAGAAGTCCAGGAACCAACAGGGGAGTCAACTTGATCGCCAATCTGCTGGCTTGAGCTCGCAGCCCAGCAACCGCAAGCTGGTCCCTCTCTGTAGACCAGCAGCTATGATAGTGTCCAGTCTCTCCAAGCTGCAGGGAGGACCAGGAAGGGTGCACCTGTTGCAGTCCTGCACAGTGACAGCACATCATTCCTCCACACATACAGATGAAGCTAACACTTGGCAATCTTGATTCCTGAAGGAACCAGCAGGCGAGGCTTATTAAAACTCTAATCGCAGGGCCTACCCTGAGCATTTCTGAGTTAGCACCTCCAGGGAAAGACCTGAGAATCTGCTTGTCTAAATAAGCACCCAAGTGAGGCAGGTACCACCTGGGGACCACAGCCAGAGCTGGGGCACTGCTCTAAGACAGGGCTCTCACCTGGCAGGTACACAGATCAACTGTGGGACCAAAGTATGCTCTCCAAGCCAGACTCACACCTGGATACCTGGAGAGGCTGAGGAAGTGCCAAGATCTGAATACAATCCCAGGGATCTCTGCTGTAGTTTTTCCTTTTGATTTTGTCTATAAGTCTCCACAAATGAAGCTGGATGTAGTTAGGGTCCATGCCTATAATCCTAGCACCCTGAGAGGCTGAGGCAGGAGGACTGCAAGTTCAAGCCCAACCTGGGCAATGTAGCAACTTAGTGAGTCCTTATCTCAAAATAAAAAGGTTGGTTTTGGAGCTCAGTGGAAAGGCCTAGGGTTAATCCACAGTAAGGAGGAAAACAAAAAGCTCCAGATGACTCTCCTACAGGCATACATAGGAGACCAAGGTCTGAAACAATTTAACCAGCACGACACTGCCTGCTGGTGTGAGAAGTGGACCCTGCACACCAGCCTCCCACCCACACCCTGCTCTCAACCCCATATGTGTGGCAGAGAGAAGACGCACCCTGACACCCTTCCAATGCCGGTGATGATGCCACCTGCAGGAACGTCTTCATCACCATACAGCTGGTACCCTGCAAACTGGGATAACTCCAGAAAGGGAGACCTGCAGGGGAAAAGTGAGCGTCAGAAATTATGTACTCAGGGGCTAGGGGTTTAGCTCAGCGGCATAAGCATCTGCCTTGCAAGCAGGCGGTCGTGAGTTCGATCCCCAGTACCGATAAAAATGAAAAAGACAAAAAAAAAAAAAAAAAAAACCTTATGTCCTCTAAAACATACACATACACTTACACAGCTACATGAGGGGAGGGAAAGGGTTTTTAGTGAGGCAAAATTTCAAATATACACATTATACATAAAACCTGTAAAACAACTAAACAAAATCTGATGAGAATGTCTTGAGAATTTATATACTGTATCCACAGGACAGAGTGCTGGGTATTTATTATACAATGTTGTACAAATGTGTTTATTAACACAGAAAGAGAACCACATGCAGTACCATGTGGCCCTTACCTGTTCCAGGCTTTCCTCTATGCAGGGGATTCCTAAACACTAACACACTGGGCCTCAGAGCCACCTTATACTTTGCTTTTCTAATTTTGAGCCCAAGTCTTGCCAAGGTGCCCAGGCTGGGTTCAAACATGCCTAACAGTCATGGTGGCCCACACTTGTAATCCCAGCACTAGGGAAGCTGAGTCAAAAGGATTACTGCGAGTTTGGGCTCACTTAGGCTACACAGCCAGTTCAACAGTGAGATCCTGTCTCAAAAAAACTTGCTATCCTCCTGTCTCGGCCTCCTAGAGTGAGGGGATTATAAATCCGTGCCACTACATCTGTGGAAACTAAGATTTTACTAAGCAGTGTGGTGCGGGGGACCCAGCTGTTCATCACCACCATGCTGTTCTTCCCACATTCAAGACTCTGTGAGAGGGCCAGGGATTTAGCTCAGTGGCATAATTGCCTGCCTGGCAAGCGCAAGGTTGAGTTCAATCCCTGGTACTGCAAAAAAAAAAAAGAAAGACTCTGTGAGAGAGGAAAGGGATTGTAACACTTAGCATCTCCCGCTGAGTGTTCCGAATGCGCGGCACCTGAGACACAAATGCACACCAATGAGCCAGCAGAGACACTGGGGCAGGCAGCATGGTCCCCAGGTTGGGAAGGGGGTGCTGGTCCAAGGAAAAAACACTTCTGGAGTGGTCACCTCCCCCTCAAACTCCACACCCAGTCCTTCAGGAAGCCCCATCAGGTGAACTGTCTGCACAGCACATCCAAACCCTGCCACCCCTCAGACCTCCCAACACCTACAGTCAGCATAGTCACTGCTGAAGCACAGCCACACATCAATCCCCGCAGGAAAGGCCCAGAGAATGGGTGTGGTTTGGTGACTTTGTCCTTCTGTGAATGCCAGAGCTATGAGGCACTGAGTGCTATAACCTCACAGGACCACTGTCATAAACATCACCATGCAGCAGGTAACTGTGGAATCAGACCACAGAAGTCTCCTGCTCACAACCCCACAACAGCCTCCATTCCTCCTTCACAGCCTCCAAGGTCCCCTGCAACCCAACCCTCTCTGCTCCCTGCTCACTCTCTCCCTCCAGCCACACTGGCCCACCACTTCCTGAGCAGTCAGAGCACCTAGGCCATCTCCCTTGGACTACAGGGCCTTTGCAATGACTGTCTGCTCTGCCAACATTTCCCCCAATACTTACAGGCTTTCTTCTCTCCTCTACGTCTTTGGTAGCATGTCACCCTCTCAATGAGACCTCCTCACCCATCCCTCTTCCTTGCCCTGGCCACCCTACTCTTTCCTCACACTTCTCACCTTCTAGCATGGCACAGAATTTAAGATGTTTGCTTCCTGCCTCCCCTGCTGCAGTGTAAATTCCAGCAGGACAAAGACCTTTAGTGTGCTCACTGTGTAACCCTGGTGCCCGAAACAGCACCTGACACATGGCAGGCACTCAGTACGCAGCGGTGGTTTAATCTTATGGTAACAACCAGGACTCCAAACTACTATTTACAACACTGTCTACTGATTAGTACTGCAGAGCAGAGAACACTGAGTTAGTGCCTGGGGTAGGACCAACCCTGGGTCGATGAGATTGTCGATTCTTTCTCTGGGCAACAGTTTTCCTCTTGATGTATGAAGTGCCCGGGCTTTTTCACTGCCTCCTGTGAGAAAAACACACAGTTATGTTAGACTGGATGAACATGAGATGAAGCTGCCATCTAACTTAATTCCAGAAAAACACAATACTCAATCCACATTGTGGCACTTTTCAATAGTTTCTTGTGGCTGGGCATGGTGGCACACACCATGATCCCAGCACTCTGGGACACTGAGGCAGGAGGATTGCTAGTTCAAGCTCAGCCTGGGCAATCTAGTACCTTAGCAAGACCCTATCTCAAAAGAAAAAAGAAAAAAACGGCTGGGGATGCAGCTCAATGTGAAAGCCTTAAGTTCAATCCTCAGTATCACAGGGAAAAAAAAAAGTTCAATGTGTCCTATGAGAAACTTTTTTTCAGAATATTCACTCATCTTAACAGCTGCCAATTTTCTGAAAGTAAATAAACTTTTTTAAAAAATAAATCTAGGGCTGGGGATTTAGCTCAGTGATTCAAGCACAAGGTCGTGAGTTTGATCCCCGATACTAAAAAAAAAAATAAAATAAAATAAATCTATCCCTGATTCTTGGATATATTTTACATGTTCCAGGTTCAGTAAAGAAATTGTTCAATATTTCTTCTGTAGCTCATACACTATAAATACTGCCTCAGTGCCACTGTACCCATTAAGCACCTACCACGTGTCCAGCACTGTGCCACAGTTTATAAAATGAAAAGCCCCGTCTTCCTCTGGACCAGGTCCAAGTGTAATGTTAGAAGTGACTTCCATGATAGACAAAATAAGGTGCCATGAAGGTGGCACCATGACCCCAAACCTTCAGGTCTATAAGCAACTGAGCTGGACACCTCACACAGCAGTCGGAACACCTGTCAGGACCTTCAGTGACCCCATCATCACTCTCGGGACAAACAAAACACAGTAACTGAAGAGATGTTAGGGGCCCCACCGGCTGCCCCGGGCCACAGGTTGCTATAAACCTCAGTGCTCAGCCTGCAGCCACGAGCTCCAAAGCCACTCGTGGCCAGCCGAGGTAGCACCAGGAACAGAAGGGTGAGTGTTGATTTAAGTGTTTATTCATTATTACCCCATCATTCATCTTTGTCCAATGAAACCTTCAGTTACTTAAGAAAGCCATTCCTTTGTTTTCTCAGGTAAGAAAATAAATTCTCCTTTTTTCCTTTTTCCCCAATACTAGGAATGGAACCCAAGGGCCTTGTCATGGAGTTAAATCCCAAGCCCTTTATTTTATTTTGAGAAGGGTCTCACCAAGTTACTAAGTGGGTCAGACTGGGCTCAGCCCCTCAGAATACTGGGATTACAGAGGTACAAAACCATGTCACCTCCTAATCTTTTAAAGTAAACATAATGCTGGGAGGGAAAGAGTTAAGTTACAAGAGAGTGTAAATTCAGTCAAACTGTTTTAGTTTAGGAGTAAGAGGAAAGAAGGGTTTAAAGGGTAGAGAAAATTTCTGAGTACATTGAACACCTTTACCACCACAATTGAGGAAATGGTTTTAAAGGGGATTTGGCGTTCACTGTGTGTCAATCACACTTCACTGAAGTGTTTAAAATATATAGGAAAAGCAATGCAAACCACGGCGCTGTGAGGAAGGCCAGTGGAGACCGGCACAAGGGGTGGACACAGGAGAAAGCAGAGGTGGTGCCACTGGGCTCAGGCAGGGTCCCGCGAGCGCGGCCGCTGTGGGGCGCTGGCGAGCACTGTCACTCGGAGCTCCCTCCGCAGGCGGTCACAGGCACCGCGGGAGAAGGCGCCCGCCCGGCACAAGTCACACTGGTAACCTCCACTCCCAGATGCGACTCTGGGAAGCCCGCACTTTCCCTAACGTCTCCTTGACGGTCCACTCTCCTCGCAGGTAACCATCTGACTGCGCTGACTCTGAGATGAAGGTGACTGCGGGGCCACCGCCAGCTGCCCCGCCCGAGGCTGCAGAGGCTGCGCCCCCAGCCACCCTCCCACCTCCCGGGCTGCAGTCTGTCATCTCCGGGCTTCAAGATCTTCCACAACCCTGCCAGCCTTACTTTTCACTCATGAAACACCCACTACTTCAACCACCCGACCCACTTCTGTTTTCTTATATCCACAAAGTGATTGCCTGCTGTAAAAACAGAACACTTGTGAATTTATCAAAAACATTTAGCGCCCTTCAGTGAACCCGAGTGACTCCAGACCCTCAGTCCTGGCTCTGCATCACAGCAGGCTGACCTCAGGCCACCACCGGCTAGAGCAGCCCAGGTGCCCAACCAGGGGCAGGAGCGCAAGCCCGCGCTGCCCTGAGAAGAAACTGGAAACAGAAGCAGAGGCAAGTGCTCGGAAGGGAATAAAACAACGAAGAGGAAACGGCTTCCTCACCTGAGTCAGGCACGGTAGCACTGAATAAAAAATATGAGTTTATAAAACAAACTGAAACACTTGCCCCTTTTTTGTCTGATCACTTAGGAAGCCAACCGCATGAATTGAAAGATCCGGATGTGTAAAATCTACAGTGAAGGGGGGGAAGAGCATAAGTATTCCCTAATCTGAATAAAATTATAGCCAAATGCACAGCAGGGAATTCACAGAGCAAATTCAGAGAAGTAAGGTGTGCAAAAATTCTCTAAAAAAACCAAGACACACACTATTTTGCTGTTAAATTTATTATGAAGTCACCTTGAGGTGCATCAAAACCTATGTTTACAGGCAGGTGTGGTGGTGCACACCTACAATCCCAGCACTCCAGGGGGCAGAGATAGGAAGACTGCAACTCTCCCTGGGCACCTTATCAATTTAGCAAGACCCCAAAAATCTTTTAAAAACGGGGCCTGGGAATACAGTTCAGGGCAAATGCCCTGAGTTCAATGCCTATTATGTTTAGGACTGAGTGTATCTAGCATGTATAAAGCCATTGCTGGTTTGATCTCTAGCCATACAGAAAACAGAAAAAAGGTTTCTTTTTCTTAAGATTTTTCTCTATTTTCCAAATTTTCTATGAGCATATACTAATATGTGTGTGTGTTTGTATAATACCTACTTTCATGACCTAACAGCATAAGCAGTGGCTGTCTTTCCTCCTTTTTCCCCGCCCCACCTCCCCAGGAAGGCCTTCACCCCGGGTTCGGCACACTCTATGGTCCTTAGCAGTGCTCAGTGCTGCAGGACTTCTTCGTTCTTTTGTTTTGTTTTTTGTTTTTTGGCATAGTACTGGGGGGAGGGCTAAATCCAGGATCTTTGCACTCAGCTGCATCCCTAGCAGTTGACCTTTTCTTTTGAGGCAAGGACTCACTACATCACTAAATCAGGCTGGGCTTGAACTTGTGATCCTCCTGCCTCAGCCTCCCAGAGTGCTGGGATTATAGATGTGCACCACCACACTTAGCTAACATTCTTAATATATGACAAGTACAGTGCCTAAGTTACTGATAGAAGGAGCAATAAGAACTTTTCTTATTGTGTTTTTATCATCCTCACCAGTCGGATGGAAACAACTACCATCATGTAAAGAATCTGTGCCTCTATCCCTCTCTGAGTTTCACATCTGGGTCACAGTAATGTTTAATGGATTTCACTAATTTTTTTTTTAACTAAACACTGTAGTGAAAAGACAAAGACCAAGATATTTAGCAATTATTTTTACTGGTCTTTTCTATTAATTCTAAGTAATCTAGTAAGTCAAAAGAAGAAATGTGTGCTTAAGGTAATACCTATAATCCACAAATCTACCCATAAGTTCCAGTGTAGACTTAGATATAAATGAGATGCTGAAAACTTACTAGGAGGATGAAATGTTTTAACCAAAGGTGCCCAGTTATAAGAATAACAAACCAGTTCAGCTGCCACCCTCAAAATTTTATACAGGCCAAAATACCTAGTATCTTTCTTCCCTATACACAAATAAACAGCCAACTTTAGATGACCTCCCTGTTCACTCAACATCAATCAATTACCTTGTTTCCATTGTTGTCACTGGGGGGGGGAGTAAATACTATTATTATTTCTCTAGTTATTTCTACAGAGGCAGTCCTTGAGATGTGGTAAGATCACACCCAGAATTGCAATACTACAATACTGGGAAGAATGTTTTTTTGTAAAATTAATATAGCTCCTTCTAAATTAGGTACTTATATGAAGAACTATTCTGAAAAGAGGAGCCTTAGTTTTGAGTCATATGTTCTCTAAAGTAAAAATGTCATATAAATCCGCAATAGTACAACAGAATTGCCACACTAGGTGGGGGTGTTCCTCTCTCTAATGCAATTTCTTTCAAGAAAAAGAATGGCTTTTATGTCCATAATTTAAAAATAAAAGTCCAAGCCCATGCTGGGAAATTTAGTGAGACTATCTCAAAATAAAACACATAAATTAGGCGTGGTGGCTCATGCCTATGATCCCAGCACTAAGGAGGATGATGCAGAAGGATTATTTCAAGTTCCAGGTCATCCCATGTGTCACAGAGAGTTCAAGGCCAACCTGAAATACACTGGGAGACCCTGCCTCAAAAAACAAAAGACAAACAATAGAAAAGGGACACCAAAAGGAGAAGGAGGAAAAAGGAGAAGAAAAGAAACAGGGCTGGGGTTGCAGCTCAGTGGCAAAGTGCTTGCCTAGCACGTGTGAGGCCCTCGCTTCCATCCCCAGCAGAACAACTAAAAAAAAGCAAAGCAGGCTAGCAGGCCATTTGCAGGACTTTGAGGAAATCACCCTTACTCACACAGCACTAAACCCATTAGAAATTAATTTCATAGGCAACATTAACATGACCAATGAACTTGAAATGTTTTAGTTTAAAAGAAAAAATTTTCAGTACACTGCTCTAAAATAAAATCCTAAAAACCAGTAATCAAACAGATGAATCTGGATGGCTAATTTTCCCCAAAACAGTGGCCACACTTAGGAAGCGGAGACCCTGACAGCTCGGCCAGCTCGACCCGCTGCTTCCACTGTCCAAGGGCTTCCTCCCTCCAAGGACTGAAAGGACTCAGAATACTGCACTCAGCAGCAAAGGGTTTGTCCTCACTCCCCAACAACAGCGAAGCAGGTACTTAAACCTCGTCTCCGTGTATCAGGGGTAATGAGCAACATCTGGGTGCAGCAGGATGTGCCCAGCCTCAGGGTGGCAATGCCTGATTTCCACAAGCAATCGAGCACCTGTGTGAGTACCTGCAAAGGAGTCTTGGAACTATTTCCCATAGACACAGAGGGCAGGCTGGGGCAGGAACACATAAAACCCCTGCATTCCAACCAATGCACAGTTTCAAGAGTCACAGCTTCATGCTCCTTATCTTTTCTAAAACCACCAAGTGTCAGGACACAGCCATGCTGGTGACATCTCAGGAAAGCACAGATGTAGATCAGGCCACTCTTACCTCGTTGTATCTGTTCCGTGCGTTCCCGGAGCTGACCCACCAGTGCCTTCATCTGCTCATAGTTCTCCTACAGCAGAAATGGGGTGAGGGAGACAAGAATATTAGACAGCAACGATCTCCACCAAGTAAGGGTCAGGTCACTCCAACCTATGCCAGCCCTCGATGGCCTCCTAGGCTAGGAAGACGAATTCTACCACCACTCGCACTCTCAGCCCTCTCCAGCCTCACTGGCTCCTAGAGCCCAACTCTCACCTCCTGGCCTCTCCACTTTCAGCTACTCCTCCACACTTTTAATATTCCTTCTTCTTTCAACATCTGCTGAGTCTGACTTTTCTAGTTGTTTTTCCTTTTTTAGGGACTATAAGCTTTTTGAGGGTTAGAATGTCGTCTTATTTTTCCTGTCCTAAAACCCAACCAGCGCAGACATGTTTGCTTACACACATGGCACTTAAATGCAAAGCCCAACAGGAGAAATACACCCTATTTCATGTTTTAAAAAGCAAAAAACTAAAGACAAACATGGTGACACACACCTGAAAATCCCAGCATCTGGGAGGCTGAGGCAGGAGAATCGCAAGTTTGGGCCCTGTGTGGGCAACTTAGTGACTTAGCAAAAAGATCTTGTCTCAAATTAAGACACGGAGGACTGAGGACACAAAAACGAGTTCTACGCTTGCATGTGTTTGCAATCTTTTTTCTTTTTTTTTTTTTTTGTTGTTGTTGTCGTTCTTCAACACATAGTCTTGCTCTGTGTTCAGGCTGGCCTTTAACTCACTATGTAGCCCAGGTTGGTTTTGAACTTGCAATCCTCCTACCTCAACCTCCTGAGTCCTGGGATTATAGGTATGCACCACCACATTCGGCAGATGTTTGGAAATTTTTTGAATAACACACAAAAAAATATAAACAGTGAGAAAAAAAAGCAGAAGAGACTTATTTCTCATCCTTATATATTTCAATTTTGTCCAGCCTGTGACCTTAGAACAATATTTATATTTATATTTATATTTATATTTATATTTATATAGCTAATCAATTTTTAAAGTTCAACCTGTCCTACTAACATTTCCTTCCCAGGAATGCCACTAACATCTCTGGTTACTTAGTTTCTTTTCTGTGACAAAATGCCAGTTTCCTGGCATGATTTAGTCTTCATTGTATGGCTTCCTGTCTCCTCCAGCTCTGAGTTCCTGACACCATGGTTCCTGCCACATTCTCCTACTCTGTAAAATCCAGAAAATGAAAGCAACATGGAGTTAGGAGAGAGACTTATACCCAGGGTAGGAAGGGCCACCCCAAAGCTGGCCCACCTCCACCAGGGAAGGGCCCACAGGAACTCAGCTTGGGTGGCCTGCAACAGCTTCCCCAACTCAGCTGGCCCCAGGCTTGATGGGAAGCTTTTCTTGTTTGTTTCCTTTTTAAAACAGGGTCTCACTATGTAGCCCAGACAGATCTAGAACTTCTGGTGTCCTTCCTGCCTTAGCCTCTCAAGCAGAGTTTTTTAAAAAACAAACCACCAAAAGCATACCGATGCTTGGTCCTCACCCTGCAAAGTCTGATGCCATAGGTTGCAGGTGTGGGCTGGGCGCTAGGTATTTCAAAATTCAAATTACTTGCTGAGCATGGTGGCACACACCTGTAATCTCAGCACGCAGAAGGGTGAGGCAAAAGGATCCTTGTGAGCTCAGGAGCAGCCTGGACTACAAAGTGAGCTCAAGGCCAACCTGAACTTCATAGCAATATCCTGTCTCAAAAAGACAAACACACAAAACAAGTACAAGTGACTTTAACCTGCAACCAAACAGAAACACTGGCTTGTTACAACCTCACACCTATTTTCACTCAAAGCAGACGGAACAAACAGCAGGGCTTTGAGAGAGGCACATCTCCCTCACAATAGTCTTTTCCAGATCACAACAGCAGAGAGAAAGCCAAGAATTCTGCTCTCTCAGGAAAAGTCAGGCGGTGGGATCTCTTATCCAGAGGCAAACGTGTGCTGCTTATTTGGCTACCAGCAGGTGGCATCACAGTAGCGTGCAGATGTCACCTGGAAAGTAGAGAGACTTGACTGCCTTTCAGAGGCAGTCAAACAGCTGGTGGAGGAGGGGGCAGTCACAGCAAGGGTTGTACCATCTGAGCAAGTGCTAAATGGGGCAGCTGGGCAGCCAGGCTCCAGCAGCCACACAGCAGCTCAGAGACAGCCATACTGCTCCGACCTCAGGCCCTGTCTGCCTAGCAGGGCACAGTTCTGATCCACACCTTCCAGCCCACAGTGGAGCAATGGAGCTACTGCAAAGTGTTGAGGGGAAGGTAAGCAGATGTACTTCACTGCACAGGAAAACAGATCTTTTGGTTGTGCCTGTGTTTAAGACCTACTCTTATTTCTATACTTTCTCCAGACTTAAAAACTCAAATGTCAAATGCCTAAATGCTCTGGGCTGAGGATACAGCTCAGTGGCTGCATGCTTACCAGGCAGCATGAGACCTTGGGTTCACTTCACAGTACCACAACAGACAGACAGACAGACAGACAGACAGGCACAGTGTTTTGAAAACTCTTGATTTTGCCAGACATGATGGTACCTGCCTGCAATCCCAGCACTTGGGAGGCTGATACAGGAGGACTGCTTGAGTTCAAGGCCAGCCTGAATGATGTACACAGTGAGACTCTGTCTTAAAAATTAAGTTAAAAAATAAAATTTCTTATAAGGATTCCTAGGGAATGGGTGGGGAAAATAACTGTACCCTCCTGTTCAGTTCTGTTTAACTTAACAGTACTAGAAAAGGAACAGAACATGGTCAATCATTACAGCTCCAGGATTTCACTGTTTCACCTCCCTTGTGACTTGTTGTTGTCATTGGTGTTAACTTTCTCTGAATCTTTACGCAGATACTAAAGGAGCCAGTGTACTTCAATGATTATCTAAAGATAGCCAAAGCTGTTTCCTTCCTGCCCTCCACCCCAAATAATTTTGAAAGACAGCTTAGCTATTACACTCAGTGTATAATTACATCTGTATCACCAAAGGATAAGGATCATTCTCAGATATCACCATCAAATACCCAGTTAGGGAAGACACATTCCCAACTGTCAGGTCTGTTTTTAGAGCTGTTTATTTACAGAGGATCCCACAGGATAAAGTCTGTAAGCCTGCAAGTGGCCAAGGTATTTTAAGTCTTTTCTACAATAACTCTTCCATTCTTTTTTCTTGAAATGTTCTGAACCACTGCAGAGTGTTTCCCACAGTGCATCCTCACAGCATCCTCGAACAAGTTCTTCCTCCCTTAGAGACTCAGAAACAGGAAATGTAGTGTGAACCCTTTCCATGGTTCACTCCCTGTCATTAAGACCTCTTGGCCTCCCCTCTGGCTGCAGTCCACCTCCTGGTCTCTCACCTTTCGGGTGTCAAAGCACAGAGCTGATGAACAGTCTGCTTCCAAGGCTCAGGCACCCAGCAGAACCAATGCTTTACTCATCTGAATCACTGTCAAGGGTTTTGAAGGGCCCGGAAATGTGTGCACATGGGCAAAGCACATGAGAGGTAAGAAAAGGGGACAAGGCTTCCACACACCATCTATCATCCCGATACACCTTTGTTTTTTCACTTTCACAGGTGTATTTGCACGAAACTCTACTGCTTATAGAAAAGGAGATAAAAAAGATCCTTTAACATCCAACAGGGGAGTTGGACAAGTGGCATACACCTGTAATCCCAGCACCTGGGAGGCTAAAGCAGAGGATCACTGCGCATTCAAGGCCTGCCTGGGCTACATAGCCGAAACCACACAGTAAGACCCTGTCTCAAAAAAAAAAAGGGCTGGGGATTTAGCTCAGCGGCATAAGCGCCTGCCTTGCAAGCAGGTGGTCATGAGTTCGATCCCTGGTACCGATAAAAATGAAAAAGACAAAAACTAAAAAAAAATAAAAAATGCAACCAGAGAAATTAATGAAATTGAGACTAAAAAAGTAACACACAAAAGCTTCATGAGTCATTTCTTTGAAATGATGGGAAGGGGCTTAGGGATGAGAGAGACAGGAGGGTAAGGAAGGGGAAGTAAAAAGGATCAAGATGTGATGTGTGTATGTATCAATTCCCCACAAGGAATGTATTTACCATGCATTGCAAACATATAATAAAAAAATTTGAGAAAAAGAAAATATTCCAACATTACCCACTCTACCAGTGCTGTTCATTATCAAAGGCAAACACTCACTATTGGCTGCTAATCCGTATCCCTTCTTCCTGTCCTACCTAATGGTTAAACCCTAATTTATTCATGGCAGCAACATGCCCAACTGGGAAAAGTAACATCTCCTCCTATAGACAACAAGGCTGTGTGACCAAATTCTAACCTGTAAAATACAGACAGCTGTCCTAGCCCATGAGGTAGGGGTACATTACTTGTTCAAAATTCTTCCAGTCAGGTGTGATAGTGCAGACCTGTAATCCTAGCTCAAGGGAGGCTGAAACAGAATATCACTGCAATTTTGAGACCAGTCTGGGCTACATAATGAGTTCAAGCCCAGCTTGAACTCCATACTCAAAAGAAAAACAAAAACAAAACAAACCTATCAATATACAAAATAAAATAATCAGACCTCTAAAATGGACTCCAGCGGTTCAACGGTAAATGTGAGCAGTCAAAACAAAAAATTAGCAAATTAAACTCAAAGATATGAAAGTATAGAATTTAAGAAGCAGGAAAGAATAAAGAGAAGTGAACAGAGCCTGGGGCCTTACAGAACACAATCAATATGAGGCCAATATACAAATTACAAGAGTTCCAGAAAAAGACTGACTCTTGGAAGAAATAATGACTGAAAAGTTCCCAAATTTGAAGAAATACATGAATTTCCAAATCCAACCATCTCAACAAAACTTCAAAGATAAGCCCCAAGGTACTCACTCCAAGACAAACTATAATCTAATTGTTAAAAAAAAAAAGACAATCTGGAAAGCACCAAGACAGACACAGTTCATCACACACACACAGAAACTCGACTAAGATTTTTATCCATTGATCTCGCAACAGAAACCCTTGAGGCTAGAAGGCAACATAGTTAAACAGTTAAAGTGAGCTAGGGATATAGCTCAGCAGCATAAATATCTGCCTGGCAAGCACAAGGACCTGAGTTCAATTCCTGGTACCAAAAAATAAATAAATAAATAAAACTCAGCAAAAATTTTATACCCAGTAAAACTGTCTGTTAAGCACAGGTGAAAAGGACATTTCTGATAAACAAAAGCTGCAAGAATTAACATGAACACCAGGCCAGCTCTATAAGAAATGCTCATGGGCAAGTAATGGCTACATGAGCCTGTAATCTCAGGCATCTGAGATGCAGAGGCAAAAGGACTATGAGTTTAAGACTGTCTTGGGCAACTTAATGAGATCTTGTCTCAAAATAAAATTTTAAAAAGGGCTGGTGATGTAGCTTAGCGGTAGAAATGGTCAAGAGTTTTACATAGAAGCCGTTGGGTTTAATTCCCAGGACAGACAGAAAAACAGATACACAGACAGACAGACTGACTCTGATTCATGGGAGTCCTGCAGGTTAAAATGAAAAACTGCCACACAATGATTCAAAACCATATAAAGATCTTCAATGACAGTGAATACTGTACCTGAGAAAATATAAAAACCACTGTAACTTTAATTTGCAGCTCTACTTCTTATTTTCTACAGAATTTAAAAGGCAACTTCATAAGCATTTATAAATCTGTATTAATGAGTACACACTACAGTACACCAAATTGTAACCTGGAACATCAAAAACATAAAAGTGAGAGGTGGACCGATGAAAGGTGAGTTTTGTATGCAGATAAGTCAAGCTGGTATCAATTCAAAAGAGCCAGTTGCACCTGCTGTAACTCTAAGGTGTTACATGCTATTCCCACAGTACCCACAACAGAAATATCTACAGAACAGACAGAAAAAGGAAAGGAGAAGGGAATCAAAACATGTTACTATAGAAGATCAACTAAACATGAACGAAGCTAGAATAATGAAGACCAAAATAACAGACACACACACACAAAAAAAAATCTATAAGACGAATAACAAAATGACAAATGTAAGTCCTTTTTCGGGTAATTAGCTGAAATGTAGATGAATTAAACCCTCAAATAAAAAGATACCAATTGGCAAAATGGATTTTAAAAAACGTAATCCTGCACAATCGGATGAGACTCACTCTAGGCCCAAGGATACACACAGCTAGAAAGTGAAAGACTGGAAAAAGATATTCCAAGCAAACAGTAACCAAGGGAACAGTAGTGACACTGCTGATATCAGTTAAAACAGACTTTCTCTTAAAAGCTACCACAATAGGTCAAGAGGACATTTTATGCTGGCAAAAGTCAATTCACCGGGAATGTATGATAGTTATAAGCTTATATGTATCAAACAGTACAGCTCCACAATATAAGCAGCAAAGACAGAACTAAAATGAGAAACAGCTCTACAATAATGAGATTTTAATACCCCGCTTTCAACAATGGATAGAACAACCATACACACTGGACCTGACCAATATAATATGTTCAGAACACACCATTCAACAACTGAGCACACTTCTCAGAGCATACTCAATTTTCTCAGAATAGACCATGTTAAGCCAAAAAACAAATCCGAATAAATTTAAAAAGACTGGTTAAGGATGGTGGCACACACCTGTAATCCCAGCACTCAGGAGACTGAGGCAGGAGGATTACTATGAGTTTGAGGACAGCCTGGACTACTTAGCAAGCCTGTCTCCAAAGGCCAAAAATAAAAAGTTTCGAAAGACTGAAATCATTTGAAGCACCTGTTTCAATCACAATGGAATGAAACTAGAAATCAATAGATGGAAAGCTGAAAAACTCACAAACATATGGAAACTGAACAACACTTTTTTTTTTTTTTTGACATTTCAGGCTGGCCTTGGGCTCACCTGTAGCCCAGGCTGGTGTCGAACTTACAATGATCCTCCTATCTCAGCCTCCAGAGTGCTGGAATTACAGAAGTGCGCCACCACGCCTGGCTTGAACAATACATTCTTAAATAGCCAAATGATCAAAGAAAAAAAACCATTAATCCCCTAGGACTAACTATTGCCCCTTTTAGTAGGGAATATCTGCGCAAGGCTTTGCCTACCAGATACTTACCACACAGCAAAGCTAGCATTGCTAGAATCTGCCTCCAGGGAAACCCTTCATAAACTCTTTATAAAAAACTGTTTGTGAAACAGGATCTTGCTATGTCACTCAGACTGGCCTTGAACACACGAGCACCCTCCTGCTTCAGCCTCAGGAGTGCAGGGATCACAGGCATGCACTACCACACCCCGCTTCAACTCTTTCAACTGCTAGCTAAGTCTCTTCTTTACCAGTCCAAACTCAACATCACCACACAGATGAGGATTGCACCCCTCCCCTAACATGTTTTAGTGGACAGTCTGCAAAATAAAATCTAAATGTAGCTTTTGCAGGCAAGACCTTCGGTCCCTGAATTCCATGCCCTGGCCATGACTCCCTAGACTTCACACAGGTCTCACTATTTCCCAGGCTGAAAGCAAAGTTCTGGGTGATCCTTCTGCATCACCTGCCCAAGTGCTGGGATCACACATGCATGACCATGGCCAGCCTATCCACCTTAATAACCTGAGTTGAAGTGCCTGTGTTCTTGTCATTTTCTTCATTTGTATAGTCTCACCTCCACTCTGCAACATAAACCTGGCCAGCTCTTTCCCAGCCAAGATCCACCCAACCCATTACCTTCTATTTGCAAATGTGTGTAATCACCTTTCAAGTTCCAGACACAAGGAGTTTCTAGCTCTCTTGTCCATCTTGCCCACAAAAATCTCCCGACTTCCATACATCTATACCAAATATCTACAATAGTGCCTAGAACATAGTCCCTGTTCAATGTTTTTTTAATTCAACATTCTTCCCAGGTAAATATTTGTGTTATTTACACAATTTATATGTTATCTGTATAGGCTAGAAACCAAGGATAGCTCTGATGTTTCACAAGCTATGTGCTGACCTTGTGAAAACCTCTCAATTCAAACATACTGTGGGATATGTATTTTCTGTTAATAGCCTAAGGTAGGCATGTAGGCCAAGTGGTTCCCAAAGCTGTCTCTAGTCTCCTAAGAACTTCATCGTCGACCTGTCATCCCAGCATTCTAGGTAGGAAGCATTGAGGTAGGAAGACTGGAAGCTAACAAACCAAGTTACTGAGCAAGACCCTGTCTCAAAAGTAAAAAAATGTTAGGGTATTAGATCACTGCAAAGGCCCTGGGTTCAATCCCAATATTTAAAAAAAGCAAACACCAGGACTCCACCCTAGACACTCAGAGGATTCGAAGTGGAGCTCAGGTAACCAATCTTCAACAAAATCCTCGGGTGAAAATGCTAAGGCAGACAAGGGACAGCACGAGTTGGAAAAGTAAACTGAAACTAAGAGGACAGTTCCTTTCTCCTGCAACAGCGCCCCGCCCGCCCCAGCATCTAGCCCGGACTCCCGGAGGCGCAGTGCTGACCCAGGTGCCCCGAGCACAGGCCCCGCCCCGCAGCTGCCCACCTGGTACACAGCGGAACCCGAGTCCTGCCTGGAGCCCAGCAATGCCACCGCGTCCCCGTGATAGGCCCGCGGCCCAGAGGCAGCCGAGCGAGCACAGGGCCTCAAGACGGCCCTTACGGCGGCCCACATAGCGGCGCAGAGTGCCGAGGATGCCTAGGACGCCGAGGGAGGGTGGCTCGCGCCCACCAGGAGCCGGTGCTTTCCTGAAAGCCCGAGCTAAGGGTCCACTCCCACTCTGGCAGAGCCGACCTAGGCCGCCAGCTTCTCTCGCTTGCTTCGCACGTGGTACGCGAGCCACCTCTCATTGGCCAGCACCACGCGCCACGCCTTCCATCCAACTCAACCAATAAGAGGCAGAGGCGCAGCCCCGCCCGGCCCCTCCACGTAGCTATAGCGGGGAAAGGTAGTCCATAGCTAAGCCGCCCGCTGCGGGTCAGTGTAGAGAACCTCATACATCCATCGGTGCCACGCCAATCACGACGGTCACCCTGTACCAGAGTGCTGAAATTATAGGCATGTGCCACTACACCCAGTTCGGAATTGTAAAGGATCCTTAACATACAAAAATTAAAGACAAGCGTGGTGATACACACCTGTACTCAGGAGAGTGAGGCAAAAGGATGGCAGTTTGAGGCCAGCCTGGGCCTCAAAATGAGTTCAAGGCCAGCACGAAGCATAAAGCAAGACCTTGTCTCAAAACGGAAAGAAGGAAGGAAGGAAGGAAGGAAGGAAGGAAGGAAGGAAGGAAGGAAGGATGGATGGATTAAAAATGGCTTAGATAAGCAGAATGAAGGGTGAGAAACCAAAGAAGCAAGGTCAGGTGGGGGGGGGCAGCCAACTTCTGAAAGTAAATTTAATTCGACTTCAAGTTCTTATAAAAAATAATAATACAAATGGGCTCAGAACAGTACTGGAATGCACAGGCGGTCAGTAAAGAAACAGGGCTGCTGGGAAAGGAGGCGGCTGAGCAGAGAAGCACTGCGGGGCCAAGAAATGGAGAAGAGCCAGTCGCATCCAGAACGAGAGCACCAGAGCAGGTTCCAGACACTGAAGGCTGGTTTCTGTACAGTGTATGCCTCCGGTGGTCAGAAAGACGCTTCCCGTCAGGACTCCTTCCCACTGCCACCCCTGCAATAGGAGCTTCTTGGTGCACTCCATCTTTGAGAACTGAGCTCAGGGCTCTATGCTCCCCCAAAGCCCTCTCTGATCCCACTGTTTACTTCTTCCCTCCCTGAGCAGACCTCTCCCAAGTGGCTCAGGTCACAGTGTTGTGTGGGTTCGTGTAGCTCACTATTGCAGGATTCCAGCAGAGTACACTGGGCTTCCAGAGTTTATTGCCGCACTCTGGAGATCAGGGGGACTTCACGTCCAAAAACATCTGAAGCCCTGAATAAAGCTTTCCAGCTGATACATGTTTTTTAGAGGGTTTGGTAATAGAAAAGAACTAAGGCAGTTGTTTTACTTGGTGATAGCTTGTTGTTTTGTTTGAGACATGGTTAACCTGTTGTAGTTCAGGCTGGCCCTGAACTCACCGTATAGCATAGGCTGGCCTCCAACTCACAGCAATCCTCTTGCCTCAGCCTCACGAGTGCTAGGCTCACAGACATGCACTACTACACCTCGATATTTTCAATCTTTTCTGGCAAGTTTACCTCTCTTCTGTCTGTTCATATTCCATCCAGGATACAACCCTATAGATTGGTGCCGACATCCAGGATGGGGCTTCCTCACACCGAGAACTATGACACCAACAAGGGGACTAATGCAGGTATCATACACCCTTAACTCATAGTCACACACCTAGATCCAGCCACCCCTAAAAACCTCACCTATGACTACCTATGAGGTATTGGGAGGACATCTAGATACAAGCAGGAACAGTACTACTAGACACAGAATGCCTCAGAGGACTGCCCCCCACATACCAGAAATAATGTGACCTGCTGAACCACAAAACAGGATGTGCCCAACAGAACTCCAATATATAACAGAAGCAGTAGGTAGGAATCTGGGGCTGAAGTGGAAGACAAATTAGGTAAAAATCAAAGACACTGGTGTGGGCAAAGACTTCCTGAAAAGAACCTCAAATGCACAAGAAATAAATAAAAAATTGAAAGTGAGATTGTATACTATTAAAAAGCTTTTGCACAGCTAAAGAAACAACCAAAAAAGTGAAGACAACCTACAAAATAGAAAAAAAAATATTTTGCCAGCTACTCCTCGGCTAGTAGACTAGTATACATAAAGAACCTATGTATTAGGGGCTGGGGATTTAGCTCAGAGGTATAAGCACCTGCCTGGGAAGCGCAAAGTCATGAGTTCAATTCCCGGTATAAAAAATAAAAGTCTCAATTCAAAAAAACAAACAATAAAAGGCAACTGCAATGAATTCACTTCTTAGAAGTACAAATGGCCAATAAATACATGAAAAGATGTTCATCTTCTGGCCATTAGAGAAATGAAAACTAAAACAACACTGAGATTCCCTCGGAAGAATGGCTGACATCAAAAAAATCAAATAATAAATGCTGGTGAAGCCAAAAGAAAAAAGAAGTATGTACATTATTGGTAAGAATGTAAACTAGTACAAGCACTATGAACCATCAACATAGAGATGCCTCAAAAGACTAACATTAAATCTCCACTCAACCCAATTTATTCCCCTCTAGGTGTCTTTCAAGAATTGGACATCATAGTATAGTGATGTATGCACATCCATGTTTATAGCAATAATAGCTAAATCTTGGAAACAGCCTATAGGTCCATCAATAGATGAATGGATAAAGAAAATGTGGAATATACACACAATAGGCTGGAGGACAGGAAAAGAGCTTGGATTTTTATATCTAAATATTATTTAAGGGGAAAAAATCAACTTTTCACATGCCCCCAAAGTGGGGGGAAGATTTGGTTTTTTTTTTTTTGTTTTTGTAGCAGAAATTGATTCAAGACCTTGTGCTTGCCAGGCAGGCACTGAGCCTGAGTTATATCTCCCATAACCTGGGAAATTTACTTTTACAAGATCAAAAAAATTCTTTATAACAAACACATAAGAATAAACATCAGTTCTGGTTATATCTTCATGAAAAGAATAGAGACCATAACTGAAAACCATAACTAGTTTTAACTGGCACAAAAATCTTTGAAAAGGACACAACAGAAATAGTATAAAATAACTTTTATTTACATAATTTATATCTATGGAACATAACTGCTTTCTTTAAAACAAGAAAATTTACATATGACAGTATTGCTTTTTCATCAAAGACATTTTTAAGCAAAATTATATACATGGTCACCTGTATTTAATATGGTAGTAAACAGTGGCTATTACTGTTTTTACCTGTGCCTCAATCATTTACCAACAATTAGGCTTTTAAACCATCATGCTGGTCACTTGTTAAGATATAAGCATTCAGGAGAAAAATATAAACACTTTTTATCACGTCTCCTTTAAGATTTATAAATGTTTGTAACATCTTTACCTCAAGTAGATTTAACACAGATATTTCCACCTTGTAAGATAAATGTACTAGATAAGTTTCTGTTTTTCCAAGGTTAGTTTATAGGGTAGAACAGGACAATTGTTTGACTGACATGATTCTTCATACAATGAATGTCCCTGCACCCATTACAGAGTAAGAAATCATATCTTCCATAAAATTGGTTGAACATCTGTGAGACAGATATTAACAAAGTTAAAAAATAAATATTATACAGGGATAAATAGTTTAGTCATGGCAATCCAACACCCACACTAACACTAACAGAAAGATACCTTTACGGAATGATACTTAAAAATTTACAAAAACAGATTATTAAAACTGCGATGTGATTTATTCCATGATTTTTGATATATGAATCACATGAAATAAATAAATGCATAATTGTACAGAATTTCCACTCAGATTTATAGATCATCCTTTACGGCACAATGGTAAAGTGAAACTGGAAATTTCACTGTAAGGCAACAAGTAAGAAATGCTCTAAGAAGCTGTGCGTGGTGATGCAAACCTGTAATCCCAGCACTCAAGTAGCTGAGACAAGAGGATCATCATTAGTTCAAGGCCATCCTGGGCTATACAGTGAGTGCAAGCCAGCCTGAACTACACAGAGAAACCCTGTCTCAGGAAGGGAAAAGAAGGGAAAAGAAGGGAAGAGAAGGAAAGAGAGGGGAAAGAGGAGAAAGGAGGGAGAACAATTCTAAGAGCGAGTTCCATCACTGTTGGACTCACTGGGCCACTGTCCATTTTACTAAGGAGCCTGAAAAATGGCCACCATCTTTCAATATACAAACACTAAAATCATTTAGACTTTACAACACTTTTCCATTTGAAATACCACAAATTCATAAAGCTATTAACACAGCTGTAGGTATAACTCAAGAGTTTCAGTGACAAATAACTCACACACAGCTCTCAGCACCTTAAAGAGAACTATCTAGAGCAAGGACCAAGCTCAACATAGTCCAGGCACAGCCCTTCATTTGAAGGGGGAGGGGGACCTGCAGCTGCCTCCGCATAAAATAGGGGAGCTAAGGAGCTGCCAGAGACCATGAAGCTTGAGAACCCAAAATTATCTTGCAACTCCTGAGCTAAAGTATTTGCAACATAAGAGACTTTCCAAATGGAATCAGAATATATCTGCTCTTTGAGAAATCTGTTTCGGAAAAATTTGCTCAGGTAGATTGATATTACACATATATTATATATGCACACATTACATATATCTCTGGAACATACACACATAAAGCATAAAATTTCAAAAGTAAAATCATTTAAATTAATATTGATAACTACTAACTTCATAAAAGTCTTGTGTCCCCGCATTCAGAAGCCTGAGGCAGGAGGATGATCATGAGTTCAACCTAACATGGGCTACATATAAGTGAGTTCACGAACGGCCTGCACTAAATAGCAAGATCTTGTCTCAAAAGAAAAAAAATCTTTGGGCTGGGGATTTAGCTTAGAGGCTTAAGCACGTCCCTGGTAAGTGCAAGGTTGTGAGTTTGATTCTCAGTACCGGAAAAAAAAAGTCTTATCACCTTACTTCTGCTTGTATCTTGTGCTTAATGGTCTAAGTGTTCCTTGACTATAATTTAATGGGGTAAAAAAATATTAAGAAATTGTGGTTTTAAAAAAGGAGTATGTATGTGTGTGTATGTAAAGGAGATTTGCCTTAGAGACAGAAGTTGAGATTTTCTCCTCCTGAAAATCCTGAGATTATCTAAAATAGAGAAAAAGCAAAAACATTCACAGTTCCAAATCAATACACTACACTACGAGAGAAAAAAGTACTCAAAACATACATATACAAGGGCATGGTGGTACACACCCATAATCTCAGCACTCAGAAGGCAGAGACAGGATTATCCCTCTGAGTAGGAGGCCAGCTTGTGCTACATAATGAGTTCAAGGTCAGTCTGAACTACATAGCAAGACCGTCTCAAAAAAAAAAAAAAAAAAAAAACCTATCCCAAAATTTCTAGTTATATTATTGTAAATATCTTTAAAAGGGAAAAAGAGGAAAAGAGGCAAATATGAATTTGTTAATAATGCCTTCTTGGGCCAGGGATTTAGCTTAGTGGCGTAAGTGCCTGCCTCGCAAGCACGAGGTCATGAGTTCGATCCCCGGTACCAAAAAACAAAAAAAATAAAAAATTTTAAAAAGCCTTCTTTACACACAATCTGAGGGGTGAAAATAATTAAAATTGGGGGCTGGGGATTTAGCTCAGCGGCATAAGCGCCTGCCTTGCAAGCAGGCAGTCATGAGTTCGATCTCCGGTACCAATAAAAAGGAAAAAGACAAAAAAAAAAAAAAAAAAAAAAAAAAAGAAAAGAAAAAGAAAATAATTAAAATTGAGTATCCTTTTAAATAAAAAATTTTAAAATAAGGGCTGGGGATTTAGCTTAGAGGCATAAATGCCTGCCTGACAAGCTCGAGGTTGTGAGTTTGAGCCCCAGTACAAAAAAATAAAAATAAATAAACTCTGATTTGTCATCTTTATAAATATTAAATACTAGTTCTTCAATTAGGACTAATGTTACATAACTATGAAATACAAAAATATGTTTTTCAGGCAAACAGCTGACAATAGAAAATTTGTAATGGTCACATACTAAAGTGGAGATTCACAATTTGCTTTTGTACACTTAGGAGGCAACTGAAAATGCCTTCCTCATTCTCCCCAAAAAGGAAAGAAAAAGAAAGAGAACAAAACATTACAAAAAGAAGTTTGCTAAACAATAAATACAATGGCATCCCAGTAAGCTGGCACTGATTTCTCCCAACATTTGTCCCTGACAATCCCACACATGTCCACACGTCACCGTCAGCATCAGCACCAGAGCAAGCAGGGTGGAAATGTAAACAGGGTCGCTGTTTCTCTCAGAGGCCACCACTGCTTGGTGCCTTCCAAAAAGCCCAATCAGCCAGAATGAGAGGAACCTCAGCAATGTTTTCCACTGATTATGAACGTTTCAAATCAAGTTCACTAAATATTAAAAACCAACCTAAAGAAAAACAGACAGTGATGCCTTTCTCTAAACTGCTTTGTTGTTGCAAGTGGCTCTAGGAATCCCAGAATTAAAATGGAAAAAAAAATAAGAGGAAAAAAACCCAAAGACTGTTTTATTCTGCTTCATCTACTTCAATAAAGATATCATTGAAGAAATATTCTGAGACTGTGGTGGCTTCCTCTGTTTCAGGTGCACGCCTTCGGCCGCTTTCACATTCTTCTTTTAGTGATGGCTGATCACAAGAAACCTATAAAGGTAATAAAAATAAAATGTAATACAACATTTACATATTGCTAGGGAGGGCTGGAGATGCAGCTCAGTGGTAAGACACCTTGCATGTGAAAAGCCCTGGGTTTAAAATTAAAGGAGGGAAAGGCTGAAATAACTTTTCTTGCATTAGACATAATAATAAAATGAGAAGCAATCTCAATCTACAACACTAGATATGGTTAGGTAAATTATAATGTAACATTACTTTACCTTAACTCCCATGAGAAAATTTTAATATAAACAAGCATAACATTTTTATAGCTGAGTATGGTGGCACATGCCTGTAATTCTAACACTCTGGGAGGTTGAGGCAGGAGGATCACAAGTTCTAGTGCAACCCAGGCAATTTAGTAACTCAGTAAGATCTTGTCTCAAAATAAAGGAGAGTCAGGTATGGTGATGCATATCTATCACCCCAACACTGGGGAGGGCTAAGGAGTAGGACTGCAGAGTATTTGACTCTAGCAGCCAGTAGCGAAATAAAAATTTTTAAATAAAATTTTTAAATTAATTAATTTTTAAAAAGGGACTGGGATGCAGCTCAGTGAGAAAGTCCTGAGTACCTCGCAAAAGAAAAACAAAGTAAAACCTATAATTAAAACATACTAGTTTCTGATTTAAGTAGAGAGACCCATAAAGCAGAAGGAAACGCCACAAAAAGACTATATTAAAATCAGTACACTTGGGGCTGGGGATTTAGCTCAGCGGCACAAGCGCCTGCCTTGTAAGCAGGCAGTCGTGAGTTCGATCCCCGGTACGGATAAAAATGACAAAGACAAAAAAAAAATCAGTACACTTATAAATCCATAAAGAAATTAAGATAGTTATTGGCACAGGAACAGACATATACCAATGAAAGAGAAAACTAAAAATGACTCTAAGTGGAGATTAAATATCAAGATAAAAAGTTACATTTCAAAAACACAAGTGAATTACAAAAATAAAAATAATAACCAGACCTCCCAAATTTAAACATTTGATCCAAAAATGGGCATCTGAAATAAAGAGACACTTCTCAGATGAAGACGTAGGAATAAGCTGGATGCTGGTGGACACCTGTAGTCCTAGCACTCAGGAGTCTGCATTGAGAATATTGCCAAGAGTTTGAGGCCAGCCTGGCCTACATAGTGAGACCTTGTCTCAAAAAAATAAAATAAAATAAAAAGAGGAAGAAGTATGAATAGCAAATAAATATATGAAAAACTGCTCAATATCATTGGTCATTCAATAAATGCACACTGAAAACAACACTGAGATTCCATCTCACACCAGAAAGAATGACTGTCATCAAGAAATCAATCAACAACAAATACAAGTGAGGCTGTTGGGAAAAAGGAACCTTCCTCCATTGTTGGTTGGAGTATGGACTGGTACAACCACTGGGGAAATCAGTATGGAGATTTGGAAAAAACTAAAACTAGAAGTTCATTTACCCAGCTGTTCTTTTTCTAGGTTTTTCCTGAAAGAGTTAAAAGCATGATACCACAGTGATATATGCTCACCCATGTTTAGAGCAGCACAGTTTACACTAGCTAAATCTTGGAAACAGTCTATATATGCCCTTTGATAGATGAATGGATAAAGAAAATACAGTACTTACATATACTAGAATATTATGATGCTAAAAGAAGGATAAACTTGAGTCTGTTAAGAGGAAAATGGATGTACCTCGACAACATAATCTTAAATGAAATAAATCAGACACAAAAGTTTAAACACCACAGTTTCTCCTGTGTGAGAAACCCAAAGGGTAAATGAGGAACATAATGGAAAGAAGGAAAAACATGTTCAGATGGAAAGGGGAATAAGGGAGAGGGAAGAGGAAAAGAATGAAAAGGAAAAAAAAAAAAAAGAATACAACAAAAAATGGAAACGAAGCCAATATAGGGAGTAAAAGTAAAGCACAAAAGGTCTTGCTATGTAAATGGGAAGGGAAAGAAGAATTGAAAGGTGGGGAGAAGAAAGGGGAAAGAAAGAATTAAGATGTATTATGTACAAGTACAAATTCCTTATGATGAAAGTAGTCAACATGTATGACAAATATGTATTAAGAAAAAAGTTCAAAAAAAAAAAAGCAAATGACAGGGACAGGTGTGGACATAATTGCCATGTGAATTCAGAACAATCTCCTCCAACTTTTAAAGGGTTGAGGCAAAGGAGAAGGAAAAGAACAATGGAAAGCAGTGTGCTGCAGGTGTCGGCGATCCGCTGGGCAACTAAGTTCCAACTTCTCAGCATTTCTGAGCCCCCTGCTGTAAAATGGGAAAAATAATACCTGCTAGGTCAAAAAAAATGGGGAGACACTAGAATGTAGCATCATGAGGAAGACAAGGAGGAGGGAGGGAGGTCCAGTGGACCCAAGAAGAATCTGAAGTGCAAACTGAAGCCCACAGAGCAAGCAAAGAAAAAACCTTCAACAAAGAGGAAGGCAGTGGCTAGCAGCGCCCTGAGACGACACTCACTGCCCTAGGAGAGTGGTTCGAACCTGCAGAGGAATGGTCACAATGAGTATGGTCACAGTGACCATGACAGCTCACAACCCTGGAGGCCTCTGCAGAGAGATGCAGCAATGGAGGGGATCAGCAGACATGGAGACTGCATTGCCTAGTACTTTTGATCATGGTAATCCATGACTGAGACTGACTAAGGGTCACAGAAAACACAGTGGCACAATGCTAAAGAACCAGGGACTAGGGCAAACAAGCATCTTCAACAAACTGAAGAGGTAAGGTCTTCCAACAGACTCAAAACTCAAAACCCAGATACACTTGAAAGATACATCACAAAAGGAGTCATAATCTAAGGGATCTAAATACTACCAATAAAACAACCCATCACAGTCAACTTACAAACACCACCCTAGGAATTAAATTTTAAAAAGAGAGAAAACAAAATGAGAAGGCACTTAAGCAAAATGCAACTCCAGACATGCAGTTTACCAAAGGGCTTTCGGACTGTGTCTCTGAAGTGATAACAACAAAGCACCCGAATGAGGCTCTGGAAAAAATAAAATCAGAGATAATCTCTCAGACAACTATGGAGATTACTAAAATACATCCATAACCTAACAATGTTAGAGCAGATACACACAAAAAGTAAGACAAGCTTAAGAAAATGATGGAAGCTTAACATAAGAAAGAAATGGAATCCATAAAGCAGATTCAAGCAGATATCCAGGAATTTAAAAACTCCACTGAAAGTATTGAAAGCAGATTAAGCTAATATGAGAAAAGCATTCTAGATACTGAAGACAGGCTTGCAGTTAGAGATCAGGAAAAGATTTCTCAGAAATATCAAGGGACCATGACAAATCAATCCAGTGGCTGCTAGGTAAGACAAAGAAGAATAACTTAATATTGATTGGAGTCCATGAAAAAGCAGAAGATACCACAAATGACATTAAAAAAAAATGTTCACAGACGTCATGGCAGAAGTTTCCTGGTAGAGAAAAAAAAAAAAAAAATAGAGATACAAATAAGTGAGGCATATAAAACTCCAATTAGCAAAAAAAAAAAAAAAAAAAAGCCTCCAATTAGCAATGATCAAAAAAATATATACACATTCAGGCATATCATAGTCAACATTCGAGAACTTCAACACAAGAATAGAACCTTAAAAGCTGTTAGAGAAAAGAAACAAATCACCTATAAAAGAAAGCCCATCAGAATCACAGCTGACTTCTCAGTACAAACTCTCAAGTCAAGGAGAGCTTGGAGAGTAAAGTACTCCAGGTTCTAAAGGGAAACAACTTTTAATCCAGATTGATGTAACCCACAAAATTATCTTTCAAACTTGAGGGAGAAATGAGATACTTTCACTACCATGAACATGAGAAAATTTATGACCACTAAACCAGCACTCTAAAATGTTCTGAAGGACATTCTAGAAAAAGATAGTTATAGCTCCATGAACCCCAACAGAAGGAATCTACCAGGGAAGGTAAACAATTGGAGGGAGAAAAAAAGTGGGAGAGAGAGAGCCAAAAACAGGAAAATAACATTACAAGGATAAGTAAATACAGATCAGTTACAACTATTAATGTTGATGGTCTCAATTCACCAATCAAAAGACACAGACTGGCAGAATAAATCAAGAATATGCTATAACTAAGAAATGCATTTAATTCAAAAAGAAATTCATAGACTGAAAGTCAAAGAATGAAAAACAATATTGCATGTCACAGGAACCCAGCAAAAAGCAAAGTGAATTTCAAGCCAAGACTGATTAAGAAAGATAAAGGTCACTACATACACCAAAAGGGAAAAATCCAAGAGGAAGACATAGCAATCATAAATACATATGCAATAATTACCAATATACCCAACTGTATAATATAATTATTAACAGACATTATAAAATAAGCCCTAATACAACTGTATTGGGAAACCTCAATACCTCACTGTCACCAACAGACAGATCAACTATACAATATAATGAAATATTAGAACTAAAACTTTCAAATAAATGGACTTAGTAGATGTCTGTAGAATGTTCTACCTCACAACATCAGAATACAGCTGCACATAGCACATTTTCTAAAATAGACCATACAGTGGCTCACACAACATGCTTAAGTAGATGCAAAGAAACTGAAATTACCCATGCATACCATCAGATCACAATGCAGCAAAACTGGAATTTATGGCAAAAGAAACCACAAGAATTTCATAAATACATGGAAATTAAATGGCAGCAATGAGTCACAGATGAGATTAAAGAAGAAATTAGATGCTTTTACAGTTGAATGATAATGATAATACAACATAACGAAACTTTTGAGACACAATGAAAGCAAGCTTAAATTTCCCTTAAGAGGGAAATTTATAGCAGTAAATGTCTAGAAAACAGAGCAAGCACATATAAACAACTTAATATTGAATCTCAAACTTCTAAAACAAAGAGCAGGCTAAACCAAAAGCTCATGCAAGAAAGGAAATTAAAAGATCACAGCAGAAATTAACATACTGGAGATTAAAA